GGGCAGTTGATCCCTTTCTGCCTCTGGAAAATATGGATAACTAGGAATAACAATTGTTTCAATAGCAAAAGAGACCTAATTTCATAAAAAATGCTTTAGCCAAAGCCATAGAGTACATTCATGTAGTAGGAGGATGTCAAGGAAAACCCGACTTGGTCACTCAAATCAAATAGCACTCCCTAAAAAAACCCACTACAAACTCAACACTGGCGGTTCAACCCTCCAAAATGGTCTAATGGGAGGTCTGGGCGGGGTAATCAGGAATAGCAGGGGGGATTGGGTAATGGGCTTCATGGAAAAGATAAGCCGTACTAACATACTATATTGTGATCTAACAGTCTTGATGCAGGGGCTAAAGATGGCGATAACAAATAACCTCCTTCCTCTGAAGGTTAATTTGGATTCAACTCAGGTAATTTATTGCATCAATAACGGTAATCTAATTTATGACAATTTGATATGTGAATGCAGGCCACTACTTCTCGTAGCACTGGACTATCCACCAGTTAGCCATGTCTTAAGAGAAGCAAATAGAATCGCGAACAAGCTAGCATAGGAAACAGGGAAGTGGACTGAAGTGGGTAGAAACTTTTTGGTAGTTCCGCCGGTGTTTGTCAATGAAAAACTATGGGCAGACACCCTAGGAACTATTTTTGAAAGAAAAACAATGGTTTGTAATATTCCTAATGTAGCAAAAGGCTACTTTTTGTTTGTGGACGCAAATAGCATACTGCAAATTGTAATTGACACTAACTAATTTCTGTTTTATATAATATATCAATTTAACCAAAAAAAGAAAGATAAATAATCAAGCACATGCATGTTACGATATTTAAAAATTTCATGTGATTGTTGGATAATTTCAAGTGGCTTTGACGATCTTAGCAGCAGTCCAGGAATAATCTTACTATCATAATTATACAAGTTTATTAATTATGTAGGACCAGCTTACAATTTAATTTCTTTTCCGACCTTGAAAATGTTGGATACAATTGGACTATCCACAATTTACAGAGTATATTTGTTAACAAGATTGTCAATAATATATTCTTATATCAGAATAATATGTAAAGAACAATGATATATATATAAATATTGTTACAAAGATAAAAACAGAATAATGATATATTCAATTCATTATTAATATATAATATAAATATTGTATACCATTTTATAAATATCATTTTTTATGAACAAGTATTTCTAATAGGAAAAGAATGGATATTTACATATTTCCCATTCCATTTCCGATATGGGACTATTAAGTCTCCTTATTTTCACTATACAACATCCTCTTTTAACACATACTCCTCAATCTGAGATGGTTTTTTTTTTCTTTACACAAATTTTACAACTTTATACCATATATAGACAAATTATATTTACAACTCCTCATCACCTTCTTCACCACCTTAGCTTTGCTGGAAAATATTTTCCAATGAGAGACATGTAGTAAGGCTTGACTTCTTCCACATTAACCCTAACTTTCCTTTTGCTATACAAATCATATTTATTAAAAATATGAAGCCACTTCAAATTCTCCTTATCTTCTTCATTCATTAAATGTTTGTAAGCTCCAGATTTATGCAATGGATAAAATGAATGATATCTTATGATAAAAAGTCCAGCTGATGGCAATGTTGTACCATTCTCTTTTGCAACCATGTACATATAATCATCATGACCCCATGACATCATAACATTTTCTAGTCCACAACCCTCAAAATAAATTCCATTTTTAGTGTTGTAAATTGGGTTGTTAAAATCTTGATTTTCTTTGAAGTATTTGTGATGAATAATTGATTCATCAAATGCACATCCAACAGGGAATGTGTCACCTACAACTGCCCATTGAGGAAGCCCTCCAAACTTAGGTAAAACAAGAATTTTCCCTAAGTCATGAATTAGGGCAGTTAAATGAAGCCATTCTTGATTTGGATAATCTTTTCTAATGGCTTCAGCACTTTGTAACAAGTGTTGAATTTGGGGCTCGTCTAAATCTGGATCACTGTCATCGACAACATCGTTGAGTAATTCACAACATTCCCATATGCTCATTTGTGCCTTGTCTAAATTTGCATACTCTTGTCTCATTTTCTTGACAAAGTCATAGGTTTGATGTATGTGTTGTGTTTTGTAGAAATTTTCTACCCCTTGTTGCCTTGCACTTTCTGCATTATTGTAGTCCCTAAAATTATGGCCAAATGCATTGGTTTGGGGTACCATAAATTGATCACCCTCTAATGCCAATTCTTTTCCATTTTCATGGATTTTTTTTTTTCCTCTACTTGGATATTCATTTCGTGAATAAAAAGTAGAGGCAAATAGAACCACAGCAAGGACCACAACCTTAAATTTGAGAAAGTAAAGCAAAGCAAAAGAGGGACAATCAAGAAGCAAAGAAGGTAATAAACTTTGTTTTTTTTACCCTTTTTATCTCTAGAAAGAATGGAAGTTATGTGATGTGATATTTAGGTAAAAAAAAGGTTTAGTATTTATAAGTGCTTGAAATTAAAGTCTCAACGTCCTTAGTTATTCCTTTCTAAAAAATCTCGAGCTAGATAATCTTTTCACCTCCCAAATTTTCTTAAGTTAATTATCCACTTAACAAGTGTTTGGATTATTTACATTTGAGGATAAAGATCAATTAGCTACCTATTTGGCTATATCTTATGCAAATAATCTGATCCAATATTGATTTTTGCTAATCGCGAATATTTTCAGTGGATATAGATTTAAAATCACTAATAACCAACCATTATTACCACTAAGGAGAAAACATTACTCACACTATCAGTGTAATTTGACGACTCTAGTTGTTCGGTACCATCGAAAACTCTTGTAACATGACCAAAGAAAAGAAATAGTTTTCCCATTGGGCTCGATATCAACCGTGTATAATCTAAACTAAATTCCAAAATGCAATAAAAGATAAAAACACATTAATATTTAAATTAAATTAGTTTGATTGGATTAGGACAACGAATTGGGTAAATGAGAACAAATTACCACAAAAGACTTCTCGTGATGATCGTAAAGGTTGTCGAGAATAGTCTCGTCGCTGAAACTTATTTTTATTTAGAAGTTGCCACGAAATATTATTTTGATTTTAGTTGCCATAAAAATTACCCACTAAAAAATTGACTAGTTAAGAGAGGTTTTCCACCATAGCTTCATCTCTCTTTACCTTCTTCCCTTTTCACCTTCTCACTCAATTTTCTTGATTTTTCCCTTAACTCTTCCCCTTTCTTCTCCACTATTAAATTCTTTATAGCTTTTGTTATCTCCTCTGCTTTCACTTTTCCATTTTCATCTCTATGTACTTCTAAACCAACACCAAGTTCCACCATATATCTTGCAGCTATAAATCATCCTATTAGAATCGAAAAGAGCAGATTCATGCGAAAGCTAGTAAAGCAAACCTTGAAAAGCAGACAACAAAAGAGAAATATATCAAAAGAGACAAAAATATTTAACGTGATTCGATCAATTTGACCTACATCCACGGGCCGAGATGAGCAATCCACTATATAAAAGAGAGTACAAAATATCGAGAGAACAACCTCACGAAGAAGCACAAACAAGTGACACACTAATACTTGTCCCGTAGAGTTCTCCCCCTAAACACGACTCTCAAAGCCCATATGGCTACATTGTGGATGTTACTGAATGAGAAGGAAAATCTTCAATTTATAGAACTCTAAACCTTTTCCAACAAGAAAAAGGACTAGCCAAATATGAGAGATTTATAATTTCCTTCTACAAAAAGGAAAACTCAATTATGGTAAATATGTTGCCCTTTCCTTTAACAGATAGGAAAACCAAATATGGTAAGAAAATTTGGACAAACACCTAACAATTCTCCCCCTTGGACTGAATTTTCTGACAAAATAAACTTGATCCACCTTCTTCACACAGTCTTCAACTGGTCGCATCTCCAAATCTCCGCCACAAAGTTTGTGTCAACGTGCGTAGCACTCCGGTCAAATTTCTTAGACAAAAATTACGATTACCGTGAAATAGGTTGCGACTAGAACTGAACCCGCCAAGATGAACCTGTCTTGAACCTCGCTCTGATACCACTTGTTAGGATCGAAAAAAGCAGGTTCATGCGGAAGCTAGTAAAGCAAACCTTGAACAACGATAAAGTAGACAACAAAAGAGAAATATACCAAAAGAGACAAAAATATTTAACGTGGTTCGGTCAATTTGACCTACATCCACGGGCGGAGATGAGAAATCCACTATATAAAAAAGAGTACAAAATACCGAGAGTATAACCTCACGAAGAGGCAAACACAAGTGACACACTAACACTTGTCTCGTAGAGTTCTCCCCCTAAACACACTCTCAAAGCCCATATGGTTACATTGTGGATGCTACTGAATGAGAAGGAAGAATTTTCGATTTATAGAACTCTAAACCTTTTCTTACGAGAAAAAAGGACTAGCCAAATATGGGAGATTTATAATTTCTTTCTACAAAAAGAAAAACTCAATTATGGTAAATATGTTGCTCTTTCCTTTAACAGATAGGGAAACCAAATATGATAAGAAAATCTGGACAAATACCTAATACATCCCTCTCTCTTTCACATGTTTTATGTATCCTTCTGGTAGAATATCATCCATACCACTAATCTTCTCATCAAATGAAAAATTATTCAAAACATAATAATTTATAATAGTTCTCACATTAATATATAAGACAACATAGTATAATTATCATGTGACATGGAAAGACTTTAGCTCTAACTTCCAATCTTATGGCCCTTAACTTCAGATATCATGATTCTGTTCAAAGAGACTGGAAATTTCAAGATTCAGGTTTAAGGAGATCAAACAAAGTTATGAATGACTGTTCAACATTGTCAAATACAAGTTTGGTTCATTCTTGTGATGAAGATAATATTTAGTAACAAGGATAAGATATTAAGGCTTTTTAATAGTTTTTAGTTTGATATGAGATTATCAAATGATGTATCTGCAAGATTACGCGTCTAGGAATCACATATATGAGTGTGCAGTGCAGCTTCAAGGAGAGTTAGGTAAGGTCAATTCTCTATGCATTTATAAAATTAGGTGGTGTTCATGGCTGAAACGAACACAACAGTGAGAACCAAAGATGGTTAAAGGTTAATTGTCTGACATGTTTAGGTATACATCAAAGCTCGGTGGTTTGAAGATATCGAATATTCTGATTAATCGAGTATATCCAATGTATATTCACTACGAAAAGTTCGAAGAAAAACCTACTTATTCCGATGTAATTAATCCTTGCGAATTACACCATTTTTTCAAGCATGTGGGGATTACTGGGTTTTTAGTTGAGGTGTGAATGAAAAATAGAGAGGAAAAATAGAAGAAAATGAAAGTTTTGATTAGGTTCGTCCTTTTTATAAAGGAACTTTGTCTCTCATTGGATATGAAGAGGAAGATTATTGTGCTTATATATAGAATCACTTCTTCTAGATCTTAATGAGTTGAGAAGAAAGCAAGTTTTGTGCCGTCGTCGCTCGGCTTAATTGATATATTTTTTGGACCAAAATTATTTATCCTTTTCTATTATTTATTTTCTTTTCCATTATATTTATGCACGGAATTTTCAAATACCTTGAGCAAAAGTAAGAGGATTAAATTTCTTAAGGACACACAAGAAATTCGTGGGCTCCAAATTATTTTTCATTTTTCTGTTTTGACTAACAATATTTATTAATTTTTTTCCAGTATGTTGTTATTGCGTTTTACTGATTTTTGAACCTCGAATTATAGTAATTGAAATCAACTTTGATTTGTATTGTGTTTTAGTCTCACTCTGGCATTAAAGTATAAGTGATAGAAACTAAGGGTCCACCAAACTATATAGAGAACCGGATTCTCTATTTGTTCCCATAGAACACACGCACACTGCAGTAAGTAAATGACACAATTGAGTTTTACGTAGAAAACTCCCAGCTCACGTGATTAATCACGACCTACCCTTGTAGGATTTCAACTTCACTACTGAGAAAACTTCAGATTACAACCTATTATAACCTAGGAATTAACCTCTTAATCCTTCACTAACTTGTAACCACTCTATTACAAGCCACTTTGTAATAACTCTATTACAAAGGTTTACAACTCAACTAACTCTAGCCAAGACACAAACACAAAGGTTTATGATTTACAAAAGTTTCTTACACAATGCTTCTAACTAAGCTAAGTAGGAATTACAAGTAAAGTGCTTTAACAAAGGTGCAACACAACTAAGGACATGTAATGACTCAATACAGTTCTTGATGCCCTTGAGAATCACTTGCAAGATTGACACAGACTTGAGAGAATACTTGATAGATTCTTGAATGTGCAAGTCATTTTGTTTTACCTTTGCTTGATGTTAATATTTCAATTGTGACATCACTTGGATGATGCAAGTATGTTAGGTAAAGGGCATTCCAAAAAAGTTGACTGCTGCACTGTTCTTGCACTGTTGCATGTGCAGGCAGCAACTTACAGCTGGGAAGTGTTGACTTGTACAGTCACCAAGGGAACTGATAGCCATCTGTTCCCTCTGTTGTTCCTTTGACTCTGAAGAGTTGAACCAAGTTCCTCACTTGAGATTTGTTGATCTTAAGTATCTTGAAGATGTGTCACAGGTTCCTTATCTGGTTCTTAACATTAAGTTTGTTAGATCATCAAAACATAACAGGGATACATATAACCTATCAATTTGCCCCCTTTTGATGATGAAAAACTTATAATTGAAGTTCCCCCAAAGAACCAGAATGACATACGCATTTCCTGTATTCTCCTTGAATCTGTTCCCCCTCAATTATTTTCCCCTATTTTGGCATCATAAAAAGATCAATAGCAAGTAATAAGCAAAATGAAGTCTAGCTTAGTTAACTCATGCCACATGTGTGCAAACAATCATGACTAAAAACAGAGTAGAAGAGCAAGGTATACACAGCAAAAGGACAGAACTTTCATTAATTTTGGATAATTAAGCAGGGAGCAGTTCCATTATTATCAACACATCCACAAAATAAAAACAACAAAAAAGGTACCAGTCATGAATATCATAGGACTAAAAACAGAGAACAGACACTAAGAGCCTGAAACTGGGAAGGAATGATTTTTTGGGAGCACTGGAAGGAGAAGGCCCAGATGAAGATGCAAGGGTTCTAAGAAGGATGTCCATTCGAGCATTAGCTGACACTTGCTCGTTGAGAAGTCTCTCCTTTAGGTCATCAATCTGTTTCCTGAGGGCAACATTTTCTTTTGTCAGACGGGCAACCTCTGTGCTTTGAGAGCTACTGGAACCAGGTGCCTCCTGAACCTGACTTAGCTGACCATCGAGAAAGACATTTCTTGCCTTCAACTTCGTTATCTCTTCAGTGGCACTGTTCTGAGCGTTGATTAGCTAAGAGATAGTAGAATTACCGCCGACCCCTCCACTTCTGTCAATGCACTCACACTGTTCCAGGGTGGTCTTAGAGAAGGTTTGCTTGCGAGTTCCCACCTTAGCTTTTCCTAAAGGGACTTTGAAAAATTCAAACACGTTAGTGAGGAGGAACTTGTAAGGTAGCCCATGATTGCCATACTTGAAATCTACCACCTTATTCATGTGTTCTATCATAAGACCATGCAAATTGATAGTGTTGTAGCCATCAAGTGCTTCCATTAGAAACAGGTCTGCTCGTGAAGTAGTAGACCATCTTTCTGCATGTGAGAGTATAACTTTGTTCACCAATTCAAACAGTAGTTGGTACACTGGAAGGAGGGCCTTCTTGTGTACCCGTTCCCCTTGCTGTATTGACTTATCCTTCACTATAGCATTCCTGATGTTGGATGAGCAGTATCGTGGACATTCCCTCAGTAGGCACACCCAAAATGGTTCCCAGTACAGTTGTGTCCATCACAAAATCAAACCCATTCACTTTCAAACAAATATTATCATACTCAACTGTGAAGAAGTCGGCATCAAAACTCTACACTTCTGCTTCATAGACTTTGGGGCTGTCACTAGTGAACATATGTGTCCAGTGTTGGTATTCACAGATGTCAGCTAGTTTGCGCATTCCTTACATGTCAAGAATATCAGGTGCAAATGTACGGCCCCAAAGCACTTTCTGATTTATCAAATTCTCCCTTTCCTCATCCCTGACCACATTCACTCTGGCTTTTTTAGAGGAACCAGGTTCCTCATTAGCACCAGCCTTTAGATTCACCGATTTTATTACACTTTTTCCTTTGCTTGCAGATTTCCTGGAGATCTTCTCAGCAGACTCCTCATCCACTCTTTCACAAGACTCTTCAACTACTCTCTCACTAAATTTCTCAACTACTTTCTCACCCTCAACCTTCCT